GCGCCTGCCCCGCCAGCGCCCCAGCCCCCGGCCAACAGCAGCCGTCTGCTTTCGTAGGAAAAAGGAGAATCCGGGAAGGGTTATGAAATTACAGCAGAGCCGTAATCCTGCCCAGAGCCTTGGGAAGGGCTCTGGGCTGGTGGGATCAGCGGAGGGCTGGGCTGAGGCAGCTCTTGATGGCCGTGGTTGGGAGGCCGGCGTTGCTCCACCTGGGCAGGACCAGCAGGGCTGGGATCCGTCACCGACACCTTCTCCAGCGCTTTCCTGCAGGGGTCTGGACCCGTGCTGTGATAACCAACGGCAGGGGTTGGCAGGGTTTCGTAGCCCTCACTCCACTTGGCATGGTAATTACGTGAGTTACTGGTGTCAACTGGAGGTAAAGCTTTGATGTGTCGATGGAAAACCCGGTAACCTCTTCCTCTGTGCTCTGTTTTGGGTGATCGGTATCTTCCCCACTTCCCTTGGCGTTTCCCTGCTCCCTGCATCCGCTGGGACCCCGAGGGAAGGAGCGGTGCCCGGCACCTTTCCTGTGCTCGCTGGAGGGGAGCAGCCCGTGGTTCGGAGCTGGCTGCCCGTGTGCCGCTGGCTCCTCTCGATGCCCGCTGCCTCCAGCTGAATCGTGTTTAAAGAAGACGCTGTGGGCAGAGAGCTTCACCCGGGTGCCAGCGGCACCTCAGGGCACCTCCGTGCCATCACCGTGTCCCCAGTAGTGGCTTCGGCATGCCAGGACAGACTGGTGGCCAAGGGCTTCACCCGAAGGTGACACAACGCTGGGGGGCAAGGAGGGATCCCCAGGAGAGCCGGGGGGTGGGAGGCACTTGGAGGCTGTCGGCATTTGGAGGGGGTTTTCTAGGGTTGGACTTGGGAGTGGTGACGTGTCCTTCCTCTCGGCAGGTCCCCGTGTCCGTGGCCATGATGTCCCCGCAGATGATCACACCGCAGCAGATGCAGCAGATCCTCTCGCCGCCCCAGCTCCAGGCCCTCCTGCAGCAGCAGCAGGCGATAATGCTGCAGCAGGTAACGCTGCTCCCGGGCTGGCTGCGCGTCGCCCGGATCCGGCCGAGCGATTTCTCACTGGGGTCCATGAATGCTGGAGCTTGCTGGGGGCAGGCAGATGGGTCCTGGCCTCCTTGGGCTATTGTGTTCCCCCCCATATTTGGGGATTCCCAGCGTGTCCAGCACCAAGGGATGAAAAGAGCTGTGGGTGCTAACAGTGCTGGCAAAGCTGGATGCTCCTGCCCTGAGTCAGGAGCTCAAAGCCCAGAAAGCCTTCTGCATCAGGGCTGGTTTGGGGCTGCCCAGCTCCTGGGGAGAGCTGGGGTTGGGGTGGGTGCTCTTGGCTCGGCGGACCCCGAGCAGAGCCCCTGCGGCCACTGCCTGGGCTTTGGGGCAGGTGCCTGGGTCCAGCTC